ATGCTTCTGAACCACTTCATGGACATGTTGAGAGGCCATCGGCCAAAGGAAAAGGGTCATCGACCACTTTTTAGTCCATCGGCCAAAAAATTGTTAGCCGATCGGCACTCCAGATAGCCGATCGGCCATCTCTTCCTGCAGATTGCTCCTTTTGTTGCAGCAGAGTACAAACAGAGGCATGGCAATACATTTGCAAGAAAATGTTGTGCAACTACACCCCTTATCATGTTTGCAGCTCAAAGGAGTGTAGTGCTAAACTCTTGAGCCATCAATCATGCATTCCAATGCATAATGGCCAAAGAGGCCAAGTTGCACAATTCAATGTGAATGAAAAGCACAAAAACACATAAGGAACTTTAACCTCTATCATGTTTCATCAAGAGGCAAGGCATGCACACACAATGCAATGCAGCAAGCATGCAAAATCATGCAATGCAACAAGCATGCAACAACATGAGATGCACCAAACATGTATCAACAATGCAAGCAACCCAAACATGCAAGCATGATGCAATGTAACAACGTTTGAATAACATGCAAATTGGACTTAAACTAAAATGGATAGACCTCAAGCATGCCCAAATCAGTGGCCAAACATGCTGAAATGAAGACTCCAAGGACTAGCCAAGCATGCATACATGTTAATGCAAGATTAAGGCACAAGACACAACTTTCCAAAGGCATTGAAAGGATGAAACATGGAGTACAATGGCATATGTTCCAGCACTGAAATGTCATGCTAAATGACTTAAAATCATGCAAACAACTCATGTGATGCATGTTGTAAGGCTTAAGCATCAAAGCTAGTGAAGTGTATTACACTAGAGGCATGCAAGACAATGCTCAAATGGCCAAACCAGCCTCAAACAGACCTTATGCAGGCCAAAATAGTGGCTAAAATGGACTGAAATGATAGCATGATAAGCAAGAAAAAGCATGCTCAAACGATGGCTCGCAAGCAAGGCACAAAGCTCAACTCTCAAATACAATTAAAGAGTGATAAACATGAGTGTATGGCAAAGATATAAGCTCTGAAATTCCATGCTGAATGATTCCAAGGCATGCGAACATCACAAATATAGCATGCTAGTGGTCTCAAAACTCAAGACTAGTAAAGGTATTTGCACTATAGCTATACCAAACATGAGTCATATGACCAAGGCAGCCCAAAACAGTCCTAAAACAGCCCAAAATAATGCTAAAACATGTATGGAGTATAGCCAAAATAAGCTAGCATGATTGGCCAAAACATCAAGCATGTTAGACTAGTAAGTATGGATTACACTACAAGGCCATGTTTGATTCACAACACTAATAGTGAGGTATTAATAATCCTATTAAATTAGTGTGGTATTAACTACCCCACCCCTACTCCATTACTAATAATCCTACAAATTTGTTAGATTAATTATCCATTAGATTAATAATTCTAAACCAAAATATCAAAACAAACATAGGATGATTGGGCCCACGGATTAATAATCCCAATCCCATGCTTTAATCCTTCCAATCAAACATGCCCCAAGTGTATAAAGTATGTAAGAGATGACTAAGGCAGCCAAAAACAGTGGTATGCCATGTCAAAATAACCTCCAAAACAAGTTGAGAATAAGCCAACATAAGCTTAACAAACATGCTCAAACATGAGGCTAATAAGGCATACAACCAAGACAAGAGGAGAGGGGACCACCCCCTCCCATTTTGCACCTCAAAATCACATTTTTACCACTGAAAATCCACTGGATTTCAGTGGTTAAAAGGCCAAACAAAGATGGTTTCAAAAGCTTAGGAAGTTGGCTCTGAAGGCTTTACAAGCCAAAGAGCAAAGGGAGAGACAACCCCCTAATACAAAATAGGCCTAAACCAACACTTTTAGGACTGAAAAATAGAGATTTTCTCAGTTCAAAACCAAGCCAAAAAAAGCTTACAAAGTTGGTAAAACAAGCATGCAAATCAAAGGTTTAAAGGAACAAGAGCTTACCCTTGAAGCACCTTGAAGGACAACAGCAAAACCAGCCAAAATCTGAGCCAAAATCAGACTTTTGGAGCTCCAAATGATCCTTAAAGAACCTCAGCCCAATGGTGGTTAAGTTTGGTTAAGGGTCTCTTTGCAAAAGTGTAGAGGATTCTAAGCTTAAGGCTCAAAACAATAAGAGAAGGAGTTTTTAGGGAGAGAGGCTCAGATTTTTGCTCACAAAATCTTGTAGAGAGAGGAATTTTTTAGAGAGAGAGAGTCCCACAATTGCCCACTCTTCAATCTATGAGATATGGCTCAATATATAGCAATATATGAGCATTTGGTCGAAATATCTCATTTGGAAATATTTGATGCAGTGCACAACAGCTAGAAAGGAAAATATCTGTCAATTCTGGACTTTCTGGCCGACCGGCCATCTTTGGTGCTGACCGGCCACCATTTGTGGCCGATAAGGTTCACTTTTGGCCGACATATAGCTACTAAGGTCAAATTGTGGCCGATGCACTTCCATAGAGGCCGACGGAAAAAATCAGTCCTAGTCTCTGACTTGAAGCAAGTCTAATTCCTTCATCTGGGCTCCTTTTCAGGTCATTCTTGAGCCTAAACTGTAGCTTCGAAAGTCTTCTTTCCAAATTTGTAAGCCTCACCTCAAAATTCTATGTGTGCTAAGAGATATCCCTCTTTTAGTGAAGGCTGCTCAGTTTCGGTCCAACCGGAATGATGCCCAACTTCAACCAACATATCTCTCCCATCCGGACTCGGCTTTAGGAGATTCTTGAGTAAAAAATGAAGCCCCGGGAATAAGCTTTCCAATGGTGGTGGCCTCATAGCTGAAATCCAAGTATTCAAAAGGATAGGCCTGATTTAGCGAAGGTTGCTCGACTCTCTCTTAGCAATTCATGCCCATCTTCTTCTCCCAACTTGGTTTCTTCCCTCTCCTCTTCTTTTCTTCAACTCCAAAACCCTAAGCAAGGTGTTTTGAAAGATTTTTCAGAGATTTCACCTCTATTTCATTCATTTCCACTTCTTCTTTGCTCGGTTTACCGAAAAGCGCAACATTGGACAAAATGCGAGCCTCGGAACATCGTAGAAACTTCTTTTCAAAAATATTTTGAAAGAGAGAGTTTTAAGATCTAAAATCTTTTTGGTCCAAAATGGGGTGTGAGGTTTGGATTTGACTCTCCTCTTGCCGAAGAAATCGACCCTTTACTTTGCACAACTTTTATCACCAAGTAAACCATTAGTAACGCCCAAGTCTTAAGGTCGGTCAAAAATAGGGTGTCTACACGCCCACATATAACAGATTTCAATTAGAATTCATAAAGTTCAATCATGCCGTATTCAATACAACTTCCAGAATATATAGCAATCATAAATTCATGAATAATTAGAATTTAATTACAATACTATTACTCACAGTGATTTTGGCCACACGATGATCCTTCTTGCAAGCAACCTACGCAACATGGCACACATATAATTTCGGTAAACCATTTGTTCCTCTTTCTTTTCATTTAACCACGTATATGTCGATGAGTGTCTATTTATCTTTTAACTTCTGAGGGTCTAAACATGGTCAAAAAACACGTTTAGAGGGTCGAGGAGGTTAACAAAAATTGACGGATTTCTCCCCTGGTTTTCACACGTGTGGAAGCCCCTCACTGCATGTGCGGAAGGTGTCGCACGTGCATTAAAGTAGAAAGCTCAACTCTGTTTTGTTCTGGTTTCTGCATGTGTGGAGCCCACAGCTGTATGTGCGGTTCTGGGTTTATCTGTGCAGTTTAAAAATAGGTTTAACTTCAAGCTTCCAAACTCATTTTCAAGCCTCAATTCATGTAATTCCACTTCAAAAACATGATATATATCTCTAAAGTGTAACTCAAGCGCAATAGGATTAAACCTTGCTTCAATCCCAAAATCTTAACCCTAGCTTCCATGGGCTTATAAAGTTCTTCATTTTCTTTCAATTTCAATTAGATCTTCACTTAGTATGTAACTCTTTGAGCCCAAACCATACAAAATCTAAGGATTAAGGCCCAACTTCTCACAATCAAACTCAAGGCAAGCAACTATAAAGAAATTGACTCCTAAATCAAGCAAATCCAAAGAATCCAAGTTCAATTTCATGAGTATAGTTCACTTAAGGAAGCACAACCACATATCATCCATTGATATACCAAAGATAGCAATATCCTCTTATCCTTGCCAACTTGACTCATGTCAGTACCCTTGTGGTATGAACAATGTAAGTTCTAACAATCTTGTTATGTTGTTTAAGTGATGCATCAATTTTCTATTTAATCTAAGCATAAGAATTCATCTTGATTATGTTCTTAGAGACATTGCCATTGCATTAGTACTTGGGATAGCAACTTACATGAGATGGCCTTCGGTATTAATTGATCCCCAACACTGTACATGGTGTCTAGAAAGCAATGGAAACTTAATCGGTCATCTAAATCATGCTACTTTTGCCATTTTCTAGATCACTAATGATTTGTCATTCTTCGAATGCCTAAAATTTCATATAGTTACTTTCTGTTTATTTGCCTCCTTCATATGTGGCTAGTATCATTGGTGGGACTCTTGATTTCCTTATGTTGATATGATTTCAAAAAAAGTTATGTGGGACCTCTTAGTTCTTAAATATGGTTCAACTTTGCTGACTCCATCCCTCTATGGAACAAGGGAATGAACATGATCCTAGGCTTTGGATTATAGTGAAATGTTTCCCATCAATCAAACCACACTTCTTATTTTTTTTTTATTTTTTGTTTTTTGTTGCAAAACATTTTTGCAATTAATGTTTCTCAAACACTCCAATATCTCTCTCAAGTTAGTTGCCGAAGGGGTATGGCTGGAGACCGCAAGTCTATTGTTAAGCTGCACATGAAAAACAGGTGATCATGGGAATCCATGATCAGAAAACACAAAAACCTCTTCAGAACACTGATTGTGGAATTTAGATTCAATTCTTCTTTTATATTTCTTCTTCAATTTACATTCACATTTGTTGTTTCAGGGGTTATTCAGCACCAGAGTACGCAATAAGAGGCCAGTCGACACGTAAAGCAGATGTATACAGTTTTGGCGTTCTCCTCGTCAAGAGAGTTAGTGGGAGAAGCAACAGAAATACATGATTACCCGTTGGAGAACAGTATCTTCTTTGAAAGGGTATGACATTGTTAATTGTTTCCGCAAACATAGTCATTGTTTTTGCATTAAACAATGATTACATGTGTCAGTGATATTAATAAATGACAAACAGTAATCCATGACCCATCAGTTCAAAAACTTGAGATAATTCTCATTTGTAAGTAAATGAGACAAAGAAATTGTAAGTTTTGATGAAAAATCTTAAGTAATGGCCAAGTTTCTTCTGTTCATCATGTTTTAAACATTGCCTCTATTTTTTTCCTTGGTGTAAATCATATTTTCTTGTTTTCCATCACATGTGAAGGCACAATTAAAATAGAAAATAGGGTTCCTATAAGACATTGGAGTCTTCAATGCCTATGATAGTGGAAAAGTGTCATTTTTGAAAACGTTAAAGTGCTTTTACTGTGCACATGATGTGAAACGAATCCGGATCCTCCGTCGCACTCCCCTGCAGCCCATTCCTGTCGCCCTCCAAAACGATATCGTTTTGGAGGGGTTTTTTTTTTTCCCATCCTTCTTTCTTTCTTTCTGTTGATGGGTTCGGAAACTCTTGCTTTGCTAACAAACTCTCTTTGTTTTTGTTTTCAGAGAGTATTCCAATGTAGTGAGCCCTTTTGTGACCTCCCATTGCTTGGCTTGATGGAAAAACCTTGAAGCAGATTGGGCAATCATAGTCCTTGTTCTTCAAGGTTTGGATTTGCTCAACTGAATTCTCATTGCAGCATTCAATCTTGGAATTTGCTTCGGTATTCTTTGATTCATCGCCCTTGTGAAACCCGTCAATGGAAAGTCCCAACTCAAACTTCTTTTCAATTTTGCTCATAAACCCAGAATCCAAATCACCAAATTCAGATTCATTCTTTTCAAACAAAGAATTCCCAGAACATGATAAACAAGAATCCAATATATATATATATATATAGATGTTAAATTGGATTTTCTCAAAATCTGGATATATATATAAATGTTCAAAATTGGATGTTCAAAATCTGAGAAATAGACCATTAAATATATATATATATATATATATATAGATGTTAAATTGGATTTTCTCAAAATCTGGATATATATATAAATGTTCAAAATTGGATGTTCAAAATCTGAGAAATAGACCATTAAATATATATATATATATATATATATAGATGTTAAATTGGATTTTCTCAAAATCTGGATATATATATAAATGTTCAAAATTGGATGTTCAAAATCTGAGAAATAGACCATTAAATATATATATATATATATGTTAAATTGGATTTTCTCAAAATCTGGATATATATATAAATGTTCAAAATTGGATTTTCTCAGAAATCAAAATCTGAGATATATATATATATATATAAATGTTCAATTTTTTCTTCAAAATAGTTCTCTTCTCTTCTTCTCAGATTTTTGTATATATATATATAAATCTGAGAAATCTTGCTTAATCTGGACAAAACTTTGCTTCTAATGCTCGGTTTTCTCAACAAACAAACAGAGAAGAGAAAATATTCACAAAAAAAAAACCCCGATCTTGCATTAGAAACCAATATACAAACACAAGGGCATATAAGAAAAATGAGAGAGAAGCAGAGATGGATACACTTGAGTCAAAATGAGTTCAGGCCTTTTCAAATGAGAGAAGAAAACAAGGGCGAAAGGAAAAGAAAGAAAGAAAGAAAGAAAAGAAAAGAAAAAAAACCCGTCCAAAACGACGTCGTTTTGGAGGGCTACAAGGATGCGCGGCAGGGAAGGGGCATCGAGGATCCGGATTCATGTGAAACATACAGACTAATGTCCAAGTGCTCCCTTGAGGAACATTGTTTATGGGACTTACGAATTTCACTTCAATGGTTTATAAAAAGTCCTTTATTTTAAATATATACATGCATACACTATAGGAAATTACACTTTTGGCGACTAAATTTGCCTACCAAAAAAATTTAGTCGCCAAAAGTTATGGAATTGGTGACCAAAAATTATACTAGTCGGCAAAAGTACAAGATTTAGTTACTAATTTTTTTTAGTCGGGGTATATTGATTATTGGCGACTAAAAGAAATTTAGTTGGTAAAAATGCAACAATTGGCTACTGAAAAAAATTTTAGTCGCTAAAAATGCTACAATTGGCGATTAAAAAATATTTTAGTCGCTGTATAGTTAGCTTTGGCTACTAAAATTATTTAATCGCCAAATGAAAAATAAAAAATTACTTTTTATCTTTGGCGACCAAAAGTTTGGTCGCCAAAAATTAATTTTCAGCGACTAAATTTTTTAGTCGCCAAAGAACTAAAATTACCCCACAGGCAACTAAAAAAAATTTGGTCCCTAAATGTACTATCATTAGCTACTAAAAATAATTTAGTCGGTATTTAATTTCCTTTTAGTGACTAAATTTTAGTTGGCAATTATAATTAAAAATTTTAAAAATTGAACTTCAGATTTTAGAGGGAAAATTAATTGGCTACTAATTATTTCGTCGAAGGAAAGGCCTTTATTTATTATTGGCAACTAAAAAAGTTAGTCGGGAAAGAAAATAAACTAGGTTTAAAAAATACACTCCCACACGCTCCAACTCTCTCATACATCTGTGTCTGTCTCTCACTTTGTGACTCTCTTTCTCTCTCACGCCTCTACTATCCTCCGGCTCTCTCTCTCTCTCTCTTTCTCTCTCTCTCTCTCTTTCTTTCTCGCTTTTGTCTCCATCGTTAACAGAGCATCATCGCCATCGCACACGAGCACCACCGTCGATCCACCATTGGAGCATTACCCCAGGTATGTCTTCTCTATTTTGCCCTCTCTCTGTCGTTCAGTCTCTATTCCCCTAATTCATCCTCTAGGGTTTTCTTCTTTCGTTTGCATAGCTTCACCCAAACCCAACCCCAAATCGACCCATGTTAAGGTTGAGGCATCTGTTCATTCATTGTCCTTGGATATGGAGGATATGGGTTGAATTACTAGAATGGTGGAATGTTCGCTGGGTTATACCATAATCTTTTTCAAATTTGTCACGCTGGGGGTTTGGGTTTAAATTTGGGAAGCTGGAAAAGAAGATGTGGAGGCCATGGTTTGGTCAATTTAGAAGGCTTGTAATGACCTCAAGTTTAATGGAATTCAAGTCAGATGGGAATCTTTGGTTCAAAATTGCTTTGTGGGTCAAATATAAGTGCAAGGATATGGTCTTTGCGGTGAATGATCTACTGTTTAACTTGGCAGCGGTGAGAGGTTTTAGGATGTAGTTGGTGTTTGGCTTGTTCTCTTTGTTTTTTTCTAACTACTGCTCTTTCTTGTTTGTTTTTCTCTACCTACTGCTCTAACTTGACCTGTTTCGTCCATGCTTGTATTTGTTGTTGTCTTCTGACCCTTTTGCTCACCATGTGTTTGACGAAATGTTCAAATGAAACTGGACAATGCTCATGTGTTTGACATCTATTTATGAGGTTTGGTAGTGCCCAGATTGAATTTAATTGTTTTTTTTTAATTACCTGTTCATGAGTTGTTATTAGGTGCAATTTCAATTTGAGATTGAATTTCATTTTTTTCCAGTTTTGTGAGTTGTTATTAGGTACAATGCTCATGAGATTGAATTTCAGTTTTTTTTAATTACTTGTTCATGAGCTGTTATTAGGTTCAATTTTAGATGATAAAATAACATGCCAATGGTTCTTCACTACATTGTCAGTTCTTCCTGGGAAAAGCCTAGCAATCATGGCCCACTTGTTTCCATATAGCCTACGAGCAGCCATTAGTCTATCTTTTTCCTCTTCAGTAAAAGCTTTTCTGTTGATCCTTGGGTCCAATTGGTTGAACCATCTCAGCCTACAACTCTTACCTTCATTGAAGTGTAAATTAATGGCTTCATTGAAGTGTGATGAAGCCATAGATCTCTTAAAGAGCACTGATACAACTGTTATTTTTGGTTAGGTATCTTATTATTTCTCTCTTTCTTTCTTCTTTTTTTTCTCGTGAATTTTTAGGGAGACAGATTGTAAGATTTTTTGTAGAACAGGGGCTTTTAATTTACACTTCAATGAAGCCATTGATCTAAATGCCAGCTTCAATGAAGCCATTAATTTACACTTCAATGAAGCCATAGATCTCTTCATTGAAGCTGGCATTTAGATCAATGGCTTCATTGTTCTCTCCAAACCAATGGCTTTGGGTTCATTTAGATCAACGACTTTGGGTTCTGCATGGCTCTCTAATTTATTTATTTATTTTTCTTAAAACTTGGCACAGTTCAACCTCAATTTTGTGTTCTTCCAAAATTTTTCTTTGCTAGCGTAGAAACTAGTGGACCCAACAAAGATTGATCGCTAGATTGTCGTGAACTTTTCAGCTTGCTGTGATATCCATGGCCTCGTTAGAGATTTGATCAAATGTGGAGACATGAAGGGAATTGTATGTCCTGTCATTTATGCTACCTTAACTTAGGTTCAGTATTATATGATTTAAAATACAAATCTTTTTTATTTTGTTTTTGTAGCAAATTGATGCTCTGTTCGATGTATTTGAAGAGAGTCCACAAAATAGGTGCCCCACCTCTTGTTAGAGTGGAAAAAATGTTTGAAGATATACAATCCAAACTTCTTGGGGCTCCTCAATTTCTTCTCTATCTGCTTCCAGAGAGGAAGAGTTCTGATCTATATGGTTTGTTTGATTTGATTTATTCCTTTATCACACTCTTTTTTTTCTTTTTTTTTTCCAGTGTTTAATGAATAAATCCATTTTAATTTCTAAGGTCCATGGAAATGAAAGAATCTTGTTGACTTTGGCATTGTCACTCAGTGCATTGCACCTACAAGAGTTAATGACCAGTATCTTACTAATGTTCTCCTTAAGATCAATACGAAGGTGAGGTAATTACTGTATGGAGGTGTGACTTCCTCAATGAGACAAGAATTCCCTCAATTTTCAGATTATAAGTTTGGACATTCTGAGACAAGCATTCCCTCAATTTTCAGATTACAAGTTTGGCATTTAGATCAATGGCTTCATTGTTAAATTAAGCAAGTGTTTTAGTAAATAAATTTAATTTTCCCATCATGTTTACACCTTCAAAATATTCTGTAAATGACATTTGATGTAGAATTGTGTGTACAGAGGACATATTTTTTGTATGATTATCTGTTTGTATGGAATTATTATTTTGGGTTGGATTATATTTGATTTGTATAGAATTTGATGTTAAAAGATCAAATTTTTGTATGGTTGAAACGAAATAGAAATAGATATATGAATTATTTTGTTTATATGCAGGGTGCAGGTTGCACGAAATAAATACAGGTTGTGGAGAAATTAATTATAATTAAAAAAAAAACACTAAATAAAGTTTTTGGTGACTACATGTTTGGTAGTCAAAAAAAAAAAAGAAGAAGTGAATTTGCTGGCAACTAACCAATTGGTAGCCAAAAAGGAAATCAATATTTTTAGTGACTAAATATTTGGTAGCTAGAAAGAACTCAAAGATTTTTGGCGACTAAAAATTTATTAGGCAAAACTATTGGGATTTTAGGCGACTAAATATTTAGTAGCAAAAAATAAGTGAGACTTTTGGCGACCAAATGATTAGTAGCAAAAAATAAAACAAAATGAAAAATAATTTTTTTGGCGACTAAATTCTTTAGTCCCTAAATGTAGTAATATTGTGACAAACATATCTATGACTAAAAGTTTTAGTCGCTGAAAATTAAATTAATTTTATTTGAACTCTTTTGGCGACTAAATATTTAGTCGCCAAAAGATCACCTTTCCCCATTATTCAAAGTTTCATAGCCAAATGTTCACTTTTGGCGACTAATGTTTTCGTCGCCAAAAGATAACTTTTGTCGACTGACCAAAGTTTAGTAGCCAAAACGTTCTCTTTCGGCGACCAAAAATAGTTTGGTCGCCAATACTATCACCGTGTATAGGCGACGACTTTGGCGACAAAAAAAATTAGTCGCTGATTAGTTTCGGCGACCAAAAATGGGACTTTTGGCGACCAATATTTTGGTCACCAAAAGTGTTTGACTCAAAGGGGTATGTTCCTTGATTCTCGGACCACCAATTGCGCATTTCTATGCGTGATGGTCCAAGAAACCAAGTATGCGCTTTGATTTCAAATGTCATGCAAACCAAACAAACACATAAAGCCCAACCTCTATCACATGATCAAGAGGCAAGGCATGCATGGCAATGCAATGCAACCTAGGTATGCAAACAAGAATACAACCATGCTATGCAACTACATGGCATGCACAATGCTAACAACATAACATGCACAACGCTTTGAAACATGGCATACACAATGCAAGATGGGCTTACACCAATACAAGTGGACCTCAGCCACACACACATAGGAGGCCATAAGATGAGAATGAAGTGCCTCGAAATGCGTGCACACGAGCACGTAAACCGAGGCAATGGCATATGCAATGCAATGGCTAAAATGGCATATAGAATGCAACATGGACTTATACTAACATGAGAGAGCCTCAGCCACACTCACATAAGAGGCCGATGGATGAAAATGAAGTGCCTCAAAATGCGTGCACACGGGCACGCAAACCGAGGCAATGGCATACGCAATGCAATAAGGCTAAAATGCCCAAGTCTTAAGGGCGGTCAAAAATGGGGTGTCTACTGAAATGTGGGGGAAAACATCCCCGAAATGAGGCGAAAGCACACCCGATGCATGGAATAGTCCCGAAACATGGACTTTTGGCACCCGAAATGGCTTACAGCTACACAAAGCATGCACAATATGGACATGGAGCATGAAGGCAGAAGCAAGACAGCTCTGAGCCAAGCATTTTTACAGTTTATGACATGGCCAAACAGCAAGCAAAGATAGGGCTAAAATGGCATACAAAAACGGTCCTAAACATGAGATTATGAAGCAACTCACAGCTGATGGCTCCAAACAGGTTAGGGCCCTTCAACAACATTGAAGAGGGGCCACAAATAAGCCACTTTACAGAACTGTAAAAACCCTAAAAACAAACATAGATATGGCTAAGCTCTTATGCAAGAAAAAGGGCCAAAAGGTGGCCAAAGAGGCAAGTGGTATGTGCACAGCCCAAACTAAAAAATTCCCTTCTACAACATTGAAGAGGGACCAAAAATAAGCATATTTACAGAACTGTAAAAAGGCCAAAAACAGAAGCATGATAGGCTGCCAAAGCACGCAAAAATGGGGACCAAAGAGAGGATATAAAGGCAAGTATAACATGGAGGTCCCAAACAATGTTGAGCCCTTCTTCAATGTTGAAGAGGGGCTCAAAATAAGCCTGTTTTCAGTTTACATCAGGCTTTAAAACAGATCACACGCAAGCCAAAAATTCTATACAAGATTATGGCATTCAAGGAGGATATTGAAGCAAGTGCAAGTTACTGTCCTCAAACAGCAAGAGGTCCTCAATCAAACATGAAGAGGACCTCAAAATATGATGATTTACAGTTTGGGTCGGAGCCCAAAAATGCAAGCAACTATGGCTTAGATATGAAGCAAGAAAAGACTAGAAAAGGGAAGAGGAGGACTCACCCTTGAAGACCAGCAAACCAGTACCTCTTGGACCAAGTTTAGGTGCTCCTAAGCTCTGGAGAACAGCCTCAAGCTGCTGGAATGGGAGTTGGATGCCTTGTGCTATGAGTTGATGAAGAAATGGCCCAAGAACAAGGGTGTTTGATGGTTGAATGGGAGAGATATAGTGAGAGATGAAGGGATATATGTATGTATATATCAAATATATCTATATATCTCTGGTTTTTTGTTCCAAAAATCCAACCTAGACAAAGGGAGAGGAATGGTCCTTATATAAGGCATTAGAAGCACTTAACTTACAAGCTAAGTAAATGGAAAGGGGTCAAAGGGGTTCAAGGCTTCTAGAGGAAGCTAAAACAGCTGGCCAAGCTTCTTGGAGAAAGGGGCCAAAGGGTTCAAGCTTCTAGAAGGTTAGGGGGTTCAAAGGGTGTGCAAAGGGTGCAAAACAGCCACACACGTGCATGGAGAGCAGGGTCTATGCATTCCAGCTGCCACAGCTGGCATCCATTCAATCTGTAGAATACTCCGGAAGGTCATCGGCTAGCAAACTTGGTCGGTCGGCCATCTTTTCTTGCCGGTCGGCCATCTATTTTGCCGGTCGGCCATTTGTTTTGGCCAGTCGGTAGGAAAAATCTGCTCTGCAGGTCCAACTTCAAACGGGCATAACTTCTTCATATGAACTCCTTTTCAGGTCAATCTTGTGTCCAAATTGAAGCCCCGGAAGTAAGATTTCCAATGGCACCACCAGCCCATCAAAATTCCAACCGTGCAAAAAGTTATGCTTGTTTTAGTGAAGGCTGCTCAGTTTCGGTCCAACCGGGATG